TATTGGCTCCTTATTCGTGGCAAATACATATGTATAATGTATAGTTTGGAAAATGTAACTAATGGTACCATATTTCGAATCATTTTCCCGAATTTAAGAAAAATTATCAAAATGGTAAAGATCAACATTTGCGGAAAAAAAAATTTTAAACAGCTGTTAGGGAAATAAACTCTCTTTTCAAAATCAAATCGTGGGCCCCTGGCATATCATAAAGACCTAGTCAGCAAATATGGCTGCCAATGCATTTCTTGAGTCGAATTGAGTTCTAGAGGATGTTTGGTGCAATGTTATCGAAGCAGAACCGATACGGAATTTTATAAATTTGGACTCTACATGATATTATCATAAAACATTTTTTCTGAATTTTTAGTTTTTAAAATAATATCAACTTTATTTATTACAACCAAAGTAATGTAAATATTAATAATTTGCCTTTAAAACTAACCAAAACATAAAAACGCCGAAAAATACGAAAATATATGCTCTTTTCATAGGCTAGATTTTTATTGACATATGGCATTTGAATTTGTGGTTGCCACACCCAACAAATTTTATTTATTGATCAATATTATTGAACATTTAAGGAAGATTTAACTTAAATCTACTGCCTTTCAAGATTTAATTTTATATGGTAAATTCCAAAAGATTTAACGTTAAATTTCGTCAGAGTGCTAAATCTGCATTAAATCTCATAATGGAGACATAGTATTAAATAAATATTATAGGTGCAAAACTTAGGTCCAAACTTTTTTAAAAGTAAACGTTCTATGCAAATTTGAAAACGAAAATTTCTCTGTGCATATTTATTGGTCCACAACTAAAGCACGGATCACACGATTTGTTCATTTGTACATTTTCTCAGTTACAGAGAGGTGTTTAGAAAGGTTTTATTGGACAACACCACTCTGTGGCAGCCAAATGTGCAAATGTACAAATCCTGTGATCATCGCTGCTTAAGAGTAAATATGTACATATCGAAATACTCCCTAACAGTCTCAAGTTTAATTAAATTTTGTCCAACTATATCTACGGATGTGAAAACACACCTGATTTTTGAGTAAGGCCACTTAAGATCTAGGTGTGCGGTATGTATTCGAATGCAAAAAATTAAGAAAGTTCGGCATGCCTTACTTAAATTTTTAGCTCTTCGCTTCTTAATGAAAATGTTCTTTGACGCGCTTCATAAAATAAAACTTTTTCAGACAGTGACTTAATATTGGTATTCATGTATTCATGTAAACCTCGTAAACAAACCGATTCTCCATACAATATTAAGTAAGTTTGCGAGATTTGCGTGGTTACGAGGCACTTCCACGTTTAGATGAACTCCTCTTATCAGAATTTGAATATAAAGATATCGGAGTAGATTTTAAGAAATGCGGAGAAGAGGAGTAGCTTTCAAATTAAAAGAAAAAAGGAGTAAAGCTACTCAGATTTTAGCAAGGTCCAAACGCTGATTGTGGCGCTGAGAAGGTTTCCCATACAAAAGCCTGTACATATATACATACATACATATCACACGTTTAATTATATAACAAAGTATTTCAAAATTTCAATTCTGTGGGAAAACGCAAGTTTTATCAATTCATACAGTTGGTATATAAAAAAACAGATGTCTTCGCCAGAGTTGGGAAGTTTGGTTATCTGTTAGACTGTACATATTCTCCTTGTCAAGTTTATTAATTGCGTAATGCAATCTCAAAAACGTAAGTTTTGAGTTACATCTCTATATTATTAAACGTGAGATATGTGCGTACAAAGATGTAGCAAATAAAATTTAAGTGACTGTACCAGTTGCTTGACTCTTAATTATATCAGCGAGAATTCGGGTATTGTATTACACAAACTTGTACAATAGTAGCAATGTGACCAATGTCAACATTTAAATATGATTTCAAGGTAACATTTGTTTGCTTTCGAAAAAGCTTTAAAATGGTTTATTCCTGCACATTGAATAAATATGTACATATGTACATATCTGTTTTCGTATGAAACAGTAGCTTATGTCGAAAGACTGGCTTTAGTATAATGCGGCATTCGCAGCATGCGAACTTTTGGCAAATAAATGTGCAGAAACAGTTCCGATATTAGCAAGTCTCATCAAAAAATTCCTTGACGTTTAAAGAATATAGGGAATGCCGCATTATACTAAAGCCAGCTTCCCGACATAAGCTGCTATTCCATACGAACACAGATATGTATGTAAGTAAATACATATCTCTGGTGTCAGGTACATAAATGATAACTCTATTTCACTTTTTAAAAAAGAGCATTTGCTTTTCTGTGAACTATTTAAAACTTCGAAAAATCTATTATTGGCTTTCAGGTTGCTGTGGGATATTATAAAACGAATAATTTCAAACTTCTAAACACGTGTTCATTCTTAATAACTCAATAAAGTCAACAAAACTAAAAATATCAACAAGGGAGTTAGCCTTTACCCTGCAGGGAAAGCTACCAGTTGTAAACTAGAATGCTACCAGTTTGCTTTTCAGCCCAACTAGTTCACGGTGCATACTTTTTCATTGCTAGCGACTGGTATTTTTAACATGGCTATGTCATAGGAGATGTCAATTGTCCGCTCCTGCATCAGTTTCATACCATTTAAATACCAGTTCGCTTGGATTAAAAAAAATGTAGTCCAATAATACTCTAAAATCACCGTATTTGGACCATACAAATCTGCGTCAGTTCATACCAGTTAAATACCATTTTTAGTCTGACGATTGGATTAACAGAAAAAAAAGGGCAAATGAATTTTTTAGATTATTTTATTTCATCGTTTTCAGCATTTATTTGAACTGTTTCTTATTTATTTTTAATTAATAGTTAAAACAAACAAATGCCCTCAAAAGTTAAATATTTGGCACGAACTACTATAAGTTTTGTTATAAAACTTGCCTCTTAGGAATTACTTTTATGTAGATCGTTTTAACTGTATAAAAAATTAACTCTTTAAAATTTTTATTATTTTCTATTATAAAAAAAATTTGACCGCAAATCTTTTTGTATATGTACATTAAAAAATAATTCCTAATCGACGAGTTCTAAAATAATGTAAACAGTTTACATGTTTTTCAAAATTTTTCATTTCATTAAATATTCCTTCACACATTGCTTCAGATAGCTAAGGCAACAACTCTTATTAAAAATTAATTAATACTTAAAATGAAAAATTCATTCAGATTTTGTGTATTCATTCGAAATTATTGCAATGTCTTAAGCTATTAAACTTAAAAATATTGAACCACATAACTTTTTGAGCCACTTAGTTTTCACTTGAAGAGTTAGTTAGGTAATACCTCTTTGTTGTGGATTTCTAAAATAAAAGTAAACGTTAATGTTCTCATACATTAATCTATAAAACTGCTAACAAACGAAAAATCCCTCAATGGGTTTTTTTCATCTTCGCTTTCCAAACATTGACAAAAAGAATACCTTCAAAAATTTATTTTTTAATTCGTTGAAACGGTCAGTATAATGCTTTTAAAAATTATAGGGACATAAATTTCTGTTGAGTGGAAAAATAAATAAATAAATTTTTCTTATAGAATATACATATAGCATTATAATAAGAGCTAGAGTTCCCAACTTTCTGCAAAATTAAAAAACATTTCTTTAACACCCCTATTCTGCAACTCTTTCGTATTCGGATTTTCCTACGAATTGCAGAAATAGTATGCTGCAATTCGAATCGTATTTTCGAAATTCGTAACAATGGCATGCCTAAAAACGAACGAGTAAGAAATTGACAGCATTTTTGCGTAATTCTGTGTCGGAGGCGAGATAAAAGATGTAAATCGATGTGTGTTTGCAGGAAATATTAGTGGTGTTCATTTAAACAAATAAGTTTGCCTTTCGCACATACGTATATTTTTATCCACTGCTTTATATAAACAAGCAAAAAATAATCTTTGATGCCCCTTATCGAGAAACTTGGGTCCGGTTTAGCTATTTGTACAATGATTTTCGGTTGTTGTGTCCAAACGCATAACCCTCTAAAACATTTACATACACGTGTAATCAAAGGATTAAACTTTAATTTAAAATAAATGTTTCAAATTTCCGAGCAATAGTTTATTAATAAATAAATTCGGTTTGCACTATACACTTTTTTGTAAATTTCGATGTGGGTTCTGCGCAAAAATATTGTGGATGGCGTAGCCGGAGTTATATGCACAAAAAATGTTGTATGCCTTTGACATGCGGAAGCCCCTCTTCTCCGGCAACACAGAAAGGAGAATTATACTTAGTAAGGGTTATAATCCCTAATCGCGTCCGAAGGCAGAAGTAAGCGCAACAGGTGGTGGACCCAACAAAGTGCATGTTTTCAATGGCTTGGAAGGAGCTGTTAAAGCATTAACTGGATTGAGAACCAGTTCTTCAGGCATAGGAGGTTGTGGTTGACCAATTAAACCAGAAGCTGACATAGATGCGTCCATGGTTACTATGCCCGACAGCTCCGCATATCTTTGTGAATTCACTTCCATAGCGCGCTCTTACCCTGCTGCTATAATTGCAAATGGAATAGAAACCAGCGTTTCCTTCAAAATATGTAAAACCAAAATTTTACCATAAATAAGCACTTGAATGTTTTTTTAGTTCCTTCATATGAAAATTCGGGATCCAGAAGGTATAAATTTGTTTTAAAAATGTTACCTTTTCAATAAAACTTTGTAGAAAAAATTTTAGTTTGTAGTTTTGTAGCGCATTGAATTTTAGTACAATAAGGTGTAAATTTTAAGTTTTTGTTATATATTTTTTTGTTGTTAAAGGTGTTAGCCATTTTTTCTATAAAACGTATCTTTTTGTATGGAAGAAAGTTAGCAACAACTTTAACAAAAAATTAACAAATAACAACGGTACGGGATAGGTATTTCAAACTTTATTGTACTGAAATTCAATGGCTACAAAGCTGCATACTGAAAGATTTTCTAAAAGGTTTTATTGAAAAGGTCAAACTTTTAATGAAAATTTAAAGGATTTGTACTTAAACTTTGCAAAAAGCTTTAAACTCTGAGTTTTATTAATAAAATCTTTAAAATTCTATTTCCCTGTAATTTTGGCAAGCGTTATATTTTTTTGTTTTGATTTCTTTTAGTTCATTCAAACTAATGTTTTCAATATCTTAATCTAAAAAACTACAAATTATTGAACGATGTATTGCAAGGATTACTAATCATCCAAACGAATAACCATGCATGGTTACGTTTTGCCCATCTCTATTAGGACAAATCCCGAAAAGGTTTCGTCTCAATGGCCTACTTTTGAAAAAAAGCTCTTTTTATTCAATTGAAGCGCTTTTCTCAGCTGCGTTTCCGGGTCGTCCGGGCTATATTGATTCTGAAATAAAATAAATTACATGAGATGTTAATTTAATGTTTACACTTGTCATTAAATAAATTGTTTACCTATTAACACTTGATACAAATTTTTGAACTCTTTGAGACTCTTCTTGCCGTGAGTTCCATCAACGTTGTAGCTCATAATTACATCGTTAGTAAAAATATTTTTTAGGTTTTTACTAATAGAGTTTTGAAGCATTCTTCTGATTGTGGATATCTATAAAAAATATAATCTTTTTATACATACATATATATTACTATACTTTTGTATTTTTTGTGATCGCAGACAACTAATACTCAACATAATAGAACGAGTTTCTGGGACGACTTTCTCATAAATATTTGTTAAATCCTCTGTGGAATTTAATTGGAAAAAGGATTTGATTCATACCATCAGAGAATCTTGTCATACGAGTTTCCGTGTAATGGCTTTTTGCCCCGCCAGCGCCGACATTACAGCGACGTTCTGCGAAGTCATACAAGCTACATAAAACAAGGTTTAAATTAAAACTAGTGTTCGCCCAGCCGTTGAAAAAAAGCGGTGAGTTGAGTTGGTGAGTTGAGGTAAAATAACATTGGTTCGGATGGGTTAAGTGGAGGGGAGTTTAACTTAGTACTTAGCATAGCATAATACTACATAGCATTACATAACATAACATAATATTACATAACATCACATACCATAACATAAAATAACATACCACAACATAACATACCATAATAAAACACATCGCGCATTATCAAGTTGTATCCCCTTTTTTATCTTTATCACATTCCCCACCTTTATCTTTGTCTCTATCGTTTTTTATGTTTATGTTTATGTTTATGTTTATCTTCATCCTTGTCTTCATCTTCATCTTCATCTTCATCTTCATCTTCATCTTCATCTTCATCTTCATCTTCATCTTCATCTTCATCATCTTCATCATCTTCATCATCTTCATCATCTTCATCATC